TGGTCTTAGTTATACAGTTACTCAACAATTAATTAAACAGCACCGAATTCCTACTTGTACACCAAATCAATGGAATGTTTTTCTACTATAAAAACACTTTATGATTATCATTTGAAACGTAGAACACTTTCTAATATTAACTGGCATGATTTTTTTATTAATTGGTCAACACAAGAAAGTAATATTATTGAAATAAATTCTACGCCTAATTCATTATATTCAAAAGATTATCAATTTGATAGTTGAGAATTAAATGCGTGGCGATCAATGTTTCGCACTGCTGGTGCGCATGAAATAACACCCTGGTCATATACAAAATCAAAAGTATTTAGTAAAATCTTTTTACATTTTATGTTTCATAGTTATATAATAACTTATTACATATTAAATTTTAGTATCAATTTTGGACAAAGTCCAATTCACCAAATCGTGATTCTGCAACACTTAAACAATTCTATGAAATCAGATTTTTAACAAGTATACCTGTTCATATGCCAAATGCAACATGCACATTTTGGAATTCTTTTTCACGCACTTTAGATAATAATAAAAAAACTTCAGATGGAAAATAGCGAATTTTATCAATAATTGCTGAAGACTTTACCTATGATGAATTAGAAACTAACTTAGGTGTAAGTTTATTTTACCAAGTTAATAATATACATAAAATTAAAAATTATTATCTGTTATTAAAAGGTTGGCTGTCATACGATCTCTGAAGCCCGCAAACATGCAAAATCTTATGGTCATGATGCACTGCCTCTTTCAAAGCCCATTATCCATCGTGTAAAACTAACAGAAAAACAACTAAATTAGTTTGAAATTTTTTTTTCCAGCAAAGAAAATGTTAATATGTCATCATATAGGACTGAAACATCAACTAGCTTACTAATTTTATACCTTCAGAATCATAAAAAAGCTTTATGGGAAAAGTTTCACGAAAGATATCCAAATGGAATGCAACGTACATCATTTATAACTCACTTACAAGGGGGCCAATATATATATAAAGATAATCTTGGTGGCATGTGCTCAACTTGCAATGAGCTTGGATATGAAGTGTTTGAAGAAATAGAAAAGCTTTTAAAATTACACATTGATAATATCAATCTTCAGTTAAGTAAAATTCTGTATATACAAGTCACTCCTGTTATAGTAAAATAATTAGTTTCGGTAATAAAAATTTTTAGAAATTCACTATATCAAGTATTTTATTAGCAAATGCACCATATCGAGAAAATTATATAAACTAACATTGAAATAATTTTTATATTGAGATTTTAATAGCCTTTTTTATATGAGTGACTTGTATATTATAATATATGCATATTTTATACACATATATATATATACGTATATCATATAATTTTTCATATTGAATACTGTAAATATAACCACTTCTGTAATATGCACAGGATTTGCATATTATATTTCATTATATGGCATTATTTACAATATCCCATAGTACATACCTTTATACGTATGCATGTACATAGAATATTCTATTGCGAATACTATTTAGTATTTGCAGTCATCTATACAATCGATACTGTCAAATTGCATACTGCCTAATAGTATACTCTCTAAGCGCATAAAAAAATTTTGGCTTTTAATTATTAACACCAAAATGGTTCTTATAACTTAAATGCGTATACTGTCTATATGCATAAAAAAGTCTGACAGATAGCATGTAATTAGACAGTATCTACTGTACAATATTTTTAGTACGTATGTATTATTTGAGTTAGCAAATAAGGATACTATAAATGGCGCTAATCATGTTATAAGTAACAAGAATCAATTTTGTTAGTTAATAATCTGTAATAAATAATAAAATCAATCACAGTTTTAGTTACTGACCTTGTAGTAGCACTTAAACACTAAATATTTTGTTATTGTTATAAAGATTCTTCATAGTTATTATATAATTATTATGATCAATTTGGTGACACTGCATATATGCACGTATATATATTTGTATATATATATTCTAATATTAAACGTGTATTCAATACTAAAATTATAAATATAGGAAAATTTAAGTACACAAGCTCAAACTCTAAAACGATATTTGCGAAAAGATTATTCTATGAAACTTACTATTAATACATTAGACCAAGCTATTCATAATCCTTGTATAAGTCATTGTCTATGACATGCATTTGGAGATTGTAATTTAGTTCACTCAGAAATATGTGAGGATTGTGAAAAACTATTTACTTTTTTTGATGAAATAAAAACCAACATACCCCTTGAAATTCACGAACTTTTAAATGAGTATCAAACTAAGCTTGTATATTTTCAAGCTCATCATGCATGAAAAACATACCTTAATGCTCAACTAAGTGCTAAACTTGCACAACTTGATTCAGATGGCGCGTGGATCATTGTTGACTACAAGATGAAAATCTTGTGTCAAAAATCTAGAGAAACTAAGGCTGAATTTTTTGGGAAGCGCGGATGGTCACTTCATTCAGTTTTGATGTATATGAAGGATCCTGATAGTAATAAAATTAATATTCACGCATTTGATCATTGGAGTAATGATAGTAAACAAGATGTCTGGTTTACAGCATCTTCGCTTCATGGTGTACTAGAAACAATTGAAATAAAACCAAAATGGATTAGTATTTTTTCTGATAATGGGCCACATTATTACAATACAGAATTAATGATAATATTAGCTCATTGGAAAAAGTGGTATAGTATTTCAGTGCATAAATGGATTTTTCTTGAGGCCGGCAAAGCAAAAACGGCCATTGATTCACATCATGTCCAGGTATAAACAAACTTTCATTTTTGTAATTAGTAGAGTTGCTAATGGATTGGTTGGTTTATCCAACTTTCAACCTACTATATTAAATTAACCTTGCTTCAGATTCTATCTGAGCTTAGTCTAAGTTGCTTCAAGTTGCTTCAAGTTTACTCTGACTTAAGCTATGTTTAGTCTAGAGTAACTTGGGATGCTATAAAAAAATTTTGTCCAAATTTTATTGGCAGTGTTCTAAAAATTTTCCTGTTTTTATTCAAAATGTTCGGAATGAGTTAATTTTCTAAACATACCATATATTGTACTGATTTTGTACAATGTTTATAACTAATGTTATCAACCCCAAAATTTTTTTTTTATATAACAGTATAAAAATTGTACAATATCGTAGGAATTCAGAAAATCACTCCATTTCGAACATTTTTTCGAACAATGCCTACAATAACTGAACAAACTTTTTTTATAGGGGAATGTTATTTCATTTATACTCTAGTCAGATCGCAGAGTATAAATCAGTTTACTCTGAGTATGTAAATAAGCAGAAATTTCATTTCTGCTTATACCCGATTACCCAGGGTATAACTATTATTAACACCTTGATAACTAGTACAGTAGTACATCCTAATCAACTATTACTATTTGATCAGTTAACGCATGCTATAAAACGATGGGTAAAAATGGGTCACAATATTGAATCAGGTGAGGAAATACAAGAGGCGATTAAAGACTTGGCAGGCACTCACGTTGCTAATATCATGCCTAATTGTGAAGGTTTGTGTATTTTTGCTTCTAATTTTAATAACAGATATAAGTATTAATTAAACTAAACTAAATAAAGCAAATAAAAAATTGGGAACGATACATGGAATTTCTAATTGGCACGAATGGACTTGGCCAGATGAAGGAGAGGCTGTAGAATGTATTTTTGCTAGATCGTTATCGGGACTAGGATCATGGAAAAAATATAAGCCTGAGCAAATCATAAAAATTACAAAGGAACATGTTTTTAGAAAGCTAGAGCCAATGCTATCAGAACACACAACACCTACCAAATCATGGACTATGCCAACACCATGTATTTAAAATACTGTCTAGATAATTATACTCCAATTCAAATTTAATTGTTTTGTTTGATAGGTCAAGATAAGAATGAATCTAATATCAAATCCCAAGAGAATACAATAGTAAGATTTACATATATAAACTCCTATATTAACTAGATATAATATTACCTACTGAAAGTACTTTTGGGTAAATTTATTATATTATGTTGAAAGTATTACATTGAAAAGCCAAAAGTTCAAACTTGCTCTTCAAATATACTACGATTGTACTAAAAATTTTATTAAAATTCGGATTAGTAAACTGTAATAAGTGGTGCTAATATAAATCTTTTAAAAAGACAAGTAAAGTTGATTGTATAAAATTTCACAATCAACTTTACATAGCTGATTTTTTGAATGATAATAAGGAGACTAATTTATATAATATGAGTGCGTTAGAGTGAAAACCTGAAGTAAATATTTTAGGTTTCACAGTAGCGAATTTAGCCCCTAAGAATTATCAATGAAATTAGTTGCTGGTAATTTCAGTAGTTTAATAACATATATCGAACGTTCTTGATAAATTACATATTATCAGGGATTAAGCTCGCCATTGTAAAAAATATTCACTTCCAGGTTTTCATTTCACGCACTCGTATATCAAAAGTTTGATTTTGAGAATTACCATAGATTTGACGAATTTTAGCATCTACTTTCAAAAAGCAACATTATTATTAGCTTATTACATCTGACAGTTAAAAGACCAAATTTAACAAGCATTAAAATTCTAGGAAACGCATACTTCAAATACGATTATTTAAACTCAGATAAATATACATTCGATATCAAAAAAGTAACCTCTCTAGTATAGTATGATTAATTCAGATATGTCAAATAAGGATTAAACTCTACTTATTCTCAACTTAGCCACGACAGGTATTCGTTAGGGTGGGCTCTTGCTGAAAATGAAAAAAATAATCAGAGAGAGCCTTGGAAACGAATAACAGAACAAATCAGAAATTTATTAGAAAATATGTTTTACGCGGGGACAGCAGATAGCAAAAACAAATTCACAGGTCAAGAAATGCATGATGAACTATTGAAACAGGCTCAACATGGTGAATTTGATCAAAGTGATATTTTAAAAGTAACTACTATTAATAACTGGATTGCGACTTTTAGTTGTAAATGGAAACAAGATATGGCAAGACGTTCTTTGAAGGTATCTGAAACTTCTAAATATTGAAATAGGTATATTACTTACTTCATATAATAAAGGATATATATTGGAATCTAACATTTATTATATATATAAATTTGTTAGAATCTGGCGTTTGTATATAATAAATAGTATTTTTATTAAAGTAACAAATTGCTTTTTTTAAAAGAATATAAATTTATGACCTTTTTTGCACAAAATTATATTGCTTATCATGTGAAATTATTTATATGTAAAGAATTTGTCAAATTCGAGATTTTTTGTACTCTTAAAAAATACTTAATAGATCGACGAATTTTACCCCAAATTATATATATGAATTAGTGCTGATTATAACTGGATTATCAATTAAGTAAATTAGAAGAGATTCTTCCAAAGAATTGTATAAATATGATAGCTGATATATTTGATAGTACAGGCTGAGGTAATTCTGTTTGAGTTGAGATTGCAGCCAGGACATGGTCTGCAGTTGATAGGTGGAAGTATATAGAATTCAATATTATGATTATTAATGTTTGTTTTTCAGTAAGTAATAGAGAATGTATTGGAGTCTAAATAACGTGTTCGAATTTTGCCTATAATGATTTCATTTTCATTAAAAGAAAGTAACCATGGTTTAGATTTTTTAGGGATATTGTAGGTATTGTAAACAAAAATGTTGATACCCTGTTGTTGGTACTGTGTATATAATGAACATTGATATTTGTTTTTAAGAACTATATCTTCAAGTATTTGAAACCATAATGGTTCTCTTTCTCTGGGTAAATGCAAAATTCTGGAGAAAAAGTGTTTCTATTCTAGAAGTGTAGTATTATCAACTGTACATAATTGTTCAAGATAAAGTAATTTTAATTTTCTTAGTTGACGTTTAAAAGCAATATATTTTGGATTGTTTATAAATATTTTTTCTAATAAGTGTAGATTGTGTTTGATTATATTTGGCCATTGTATATTGGAGTTTACAGTAAAGAATATATTTAGATAATTGAGGAGCTATATAATCTTGAAGTTAAGTATATATTTGTTTGGGTCATCTAGGATAGGTTGTGAGTGCTGGAGTCTATTTGAAGTTGGCCATAGATTGTTTTGTAGTTGTTGTAGTCTAATACGAGTTGTAGTTTCTAAGAAGTGAGGGTTGTTGATATGTTGGAGGAAGTTGGTTATGTGGAGTTGTAGTTGAATATCCCAGATGTTACAGATATTGTATAGATATAGATTAAGCATAGTGCTGTTTGGTATTGATCTTACATGATGAGATTTGTGTTTAGCAATCGTAAGATATTTAGCTAAAATGTGATTGCATGTAGTATATGAAAGTACTATATTATAGATTCTATATTCTAATGTAGTGATATTAATAATGTAGGCAATCTGCTTGTCTGTGATTTTCTTTGTACTAGCAATATGAGTTAGTTTAAATGTTTCATTTTGGATTAGTTTAACTTGTTCAGATTGTTTGTTATTAAGGGTGAACCAACAACCAAGAAATTTAAAGAGTTGATTAGCTGGAATTAAGTGGATTGTAGAATTGATAAAAGGAATGGAAGAAGGTTTTGTATTGGTAGCTAATATAGATTTAGTTGGATTAACTTGTGTATCTGCCATTTGATAAAAGGATGAAGCAGTTTGAGTAATTTGGATTATTTTCTCTTTAGATTAAGCTATCCATAATGTATCATTCATATAGGCTAATACAGAGGTTGAGGCTTGAAGGTATTTGCTAGTTTTAGATTGTAGGCTAGTTTGTCATAAAGTAGATAGAGTATATCCTGTGAATTGTGAGGAGATTTTGTGAATAAGAGGATTACAATAGATTTTCCAAAAAAGAGGTGTGATGGTTTCTCCTTGGTCAATGCCATTTTTGACTGTATAGAGATTAGTAAGCCCATGATTAGTGATAACCTTATTTTGGCAGTTTGATAGGAGGTTGGTGAGTATATTGATAAGTTTAGATAACATGTTAATGTGTTGAAGTGATAGTTTATATAGGTCAAGGTTTATAGAATTATAAGCTTTGCTCATATCTTGTAATAGTAGCCAAAGCTCTTTTGAATTACAAGAGGCTTCTTCAATTATATTGTTGAGTATATGGATAGGAATAGCAATGCAGTTTTCTGAAAGTGCAATATAGTTGAAAGGAGAAAAGATTTCATGTTTAGTAAATATATGGTTTAGTCGATTGGTTAAAAGTTTGGTATATAATTTTTTGATGTGTTCTAAAAGACTAATAGGTTTAGTATTAGTCAAATTGCCATCAAAGATAAGTTTTTTAGAGATTGGAAAAATTCTTCTTTCTTTTTATTGTTTAAGAATTGAGTTAGTATTAATGTATCTGTTGAATAGAGCTGTGATTGCTTGCAAAAAGAGTGTTTTGGCATGTTTAAGTATTTCATAGCTAACTCCAAATGGGCCATATGCCTTGTTGTTAGGAAGTTGTGACAAATTAGCTGAAACTTCTTCTAGTGAGAATTCACTAAAAGCACTATTATACCATTAATATATGTGTTATTAGAAATTATGAAAAGAAAAAATAATAACTTTAAATTCATTTCAAGTTGTATTAGAATAAGAAATAGTAGTAACACTAAATTTAATAAATATATTATTTTTACAAATTTAGACAAAACTAAATTTAATATTTGATGACTGTAAAGTTTGAATTGATGCATTAGTATAGAAATGGAGTTCTTGAATAGTAAGTTTTGAATAAATAAAAAAAAATTTATAAGTTGCTGCTAGTAAGTGATTAAATTAATTATATTATGTAGAGATGTTGATTTATGAGATTAGATAAGAGGAAGTTGTATATTAGTAGAATTAAATATATTAATTAGTACTAAAATTTCTTCTTTTTTTTTAACAATTCTGCCTTTATTAGTTAAATAAGAAGTAGCAAAACTTTATATTTACAATATATAGTTCTATACTATAATTAAAGACTTACTTAACATTAAATGCTCAGATGCAATCCACCTAAGCAGCCAATTTGCTTTATGTGGAATCCTCAACTTTTTGAGAATTTGTTCATCCTGATCATGAGCTGAGAGTTGCTAACCTTGTCAGTACTGCCTTTTTGCTTTTTACAGGTTTTGTATACCAATTTCTAACACCTGACAGCCAAATTTAAACATCTGAACAATTAAATTCAAACATAGTAGCAATCAAATTCAAACATAGTAGTAATCAAATTCAAACATAAAAACAATCAAATTTGAATATTAACTAATCAAATTCAAACATTTTAGCAATCAAATTTGAACATCTTAACAATCAAATTTGAACAAAAATATTTTATAATTTTTTTTTTTTATTTATCAGCAGCCTTGCCGGTATCTTTATTAGATTAAAGCATATATATACATATATTTAACTATCTAAACTATAGATCCGACATTCCCCGGCTATCTCTGTGCGCCCAAGGACGGTCTGCCTTACCAGCTAAGGCTAATGCCCGTACGTTTTCTTTGCTTGCTTGGTATATTATTTCTATTATCTACTCTGCTGAGATTGTAAATAAAGCTTTTGAACTTATCTCTGCTTAAATCTGTTTTAAAGTTTTTGCTTCTATAGGGCCTTTAATGTTTTGCTTCTTGATTCCCTTTCTTCTTTTTTCTTCTTTGGTTTTTTCTTTTTTTATACTAGTTTGCTGTGGCTACTTCAATAGATTCTTTAAATTTTTTAACTAATGACTTCAATATTATTTTGTTATACTGCTTTTGTTAAACTTTTTTGTTTTTGAAGTCTCTTGCTTCAACCTAGTTCTAACATCAACTTTATTTTAGCAGCTTGCTTTTTTATTTTTCAAACTTGCATCTTCTTTTTTATATCCTTGATTTTTTTTTAATCTTATACTGGTTTACTGTAAAGGTTTTGATAGATTCTTAAAATTGTTGTACTATTTTCTTCAGAGCTGTTTTGTTGTATCACTTTTGTCAATTTTTTTTTAGTTTTAAAGTTTCTTGCTTTAACCTAAATCTACTTTTAACTTTATCAACTTTATTTCAGCAGCTTGTTTTTCTTTAGACTTTATTATTCATCTTATCCCATTGGCTATTACTAAATTAGCTAGAATATTGTTTATTTCTTTATATATGATGTATCTAATCAAATTCTCTTCTTTTTATAGTACTGCGAGGTAATCATGTTTGTTTCTTTTTCTAAATATGAGTTCTGTATAATTAAGTTTACCTGAATTATATTTTCATAATTCTTCATAAAGTTTTGCTATTTATACTTCAGCTTCTTCTTCTATAATAAGTTTTTTTAGCATATTCTGATAATATCAGATCTATTATAATATCTTTATTTTCATCAAATGTGTGCTCCAAATTCTTCTAATACTATCAGAAAAATAAATTTAGTGCAAGTTTGCACAAATTTTTAAGCAAATTTAATATATAAAAATTTGCAAAAATTTGCTAACCTGCCGGAAATTTTGAAATAAAAAAATAAAAATTTGTACAAATTTTTATATTTTAACTATTTTCAAAAATATGCAAAAAATCTTAAATATATATATTTTATATCTTTCTATTTAGTAGTACTAAAAGAGAGCTAATTATATATATAATGCTTTAAAAAAAATTTTAAAAAAATTTTTACAGAATTGAAAAATTTATTTTATTAAAAATTTTTACAAATAATTAAATATATAAAAATTTGTATAAATTTTTATATTTTTTTGAAAATTTTAGCAGGTTAACAAATTTTACAAATTTTTATATATTAAATTTGCTTAAAAAAATTTGTTCAAATTTGTGCACTAAATTTATTTTCCTAATAAATACAATCTTGGTTGTCTATTTAAGTAATCTGTTATTACTAAGTTTTTTTTATTAACTAGCCTCTTTGGTGTAGAGATTTTTATTCAAGTATACTGGGTGGGAGCTTACAGTAAAACTCCAATTACTTAGAGAAACAACTAGCCATATATACAACTTTGGTCACCTATTTAAGTAGTTCATATATAGATGACTGTATACTATAGGTACTACATTAGAAGATTATCTATTTAAACTCTCTGTAAC